GCCCTTGCTATTATGTACGCAAGAGGAGCCAACAATTTCCCAACCAACAGCTTGTGGTCAACAGTATGGGGTCCTCAGTTTTTTAGGCAAACTATGCCACGAGACAGATTCAAGGATATTATAAAATATCTCAGATTTGACATAAAACAAACGAGATGTGAACGTTTGAAAACCGACAAATTTGCTCTAGCCTCTGCGGTTTGGAATGGATTTATAGAAAATATTGGTGCATGTTACAAACCGGGAATAAACCTTTCTGTGGACGAACAACTACTGCCTTCTAAAGCCAGGTGCCCGTTCACACAGTACATATCAAATAAGCCGGATAAGTTTGGCATAAAATTTTGGCTTTTGACATGCGTGGAATCAAAATATATTTTAAATGATTACCCTTATACTGGCACTGATCATCTATGCAAGAAAGATACAAGTGTTGGTGAACATGTTGTTTTGCGGTTAATGGAAAATCAACTGGAAAAGGGTAAAAATGTTACGACAGATAACTACTTTACATCGTTAAAATTGGCCAAGGCATTGCAAAAAAAAATCAACAAGTCTTGTGGGTACTTTGAATCGCAACAAAAAGAAAGTTCCTCTAAGCGTAAAGAGTAAAAATGGAGAATTATAATGTTACACATATATTCCAGAATGACGAAAAGATAACACTTACTGCATACCAAGGAAAGAGTTACTAAAAAGGGGCTTTTGTTGAGCTCATTACATCAATAAGTGGATGTTGCTGTCGATAGAAAAAAACTTCCTCAAACAGTAAGTTTTTATAATAAAACAAAATACGGGGTTGATGTAGTGGACCAAATGGCGCGTCTTTATACTACAAAAGTTGTTTCGAAACGATGGCCAATGCACGTGTTTTATAACATTCTTGACTTAGGAGCAATAAATGCATGGATTATTTATAAAGAAGTTACTGGAAGTAAAATCAGTCGTCGTAAGTTTATTCTTCAGCTGTGTGAAGAATTCCGGGCTACATACCTTGCCTCCCGAAATCTGGTACTATACTCAGCACCACCGGATTTACCAACCACCAGCACTGTTACTAGCCAAAAAAGAAAAAAATGTCAGTTAAAAATCTTTCGTAAAGGAAATCATACTTCCAATGAGTGCCACGGCTGTAACAAGGCAATGTGTGGCAAATGCCAAAAACTCCAAACTGTATGGTGTTCCAAATGTTTAAAATGAAACTAAAAAATTAAATCAAATTCTATCGTCAAGAGTTTATGTAATTTGTTAAAACTGTTTATTTTTATTTTTTGTTTATTCCCAAATAAATAGTTAATTCTAAACTTGGTTTTTATTGATTTAGGAACTTGGGGCCAAAATAATCCCTTCGGGCTTTCTAGGTAGGTAGGCTAAGCCCGACTTTCTAGTGCTAATTTATTCTTCGGTGTGCTAACCAAGGAAATAATCTCCTGCGAATGGTCATCTCTTATTACTGAATGATTGTTGAAATGCAGCGTTTTCCACAATAAGTGGAACCAATTCCTCGACATTACGTTTTTGATATTATTTACATAAAGATCATTCTTTGACCAGTACGAATTAAAAGATGGAAAATGACATAATCTCATCCCTATAACTATACCTAGGAATCGTTTTATTTCGGCGACATCCGTGTTGTGCCAAGCGGTAATACGTGCGCTTTTATCTGATTTCTTTGATCGAATTGTTAGACTCTGCAGTGTTACGGCGTTATGCCCAGACACTGCAGGGCATAACATTTGTTTCTTCGATCTAAAAATTAAATAAAAATTAAAATCAGTTAAACGAAATAACTTAGATACTTACCATCATGAATAAACAATCACGGTCTACAAAATATTCGCAGAATTAAAAGGGCGATTTGTTGTAGAAGTTTTTGTATATTTGTGTATAAAAACCTCAAATGTATAAACGTAAAGGTATAGTCCTCAAATGGTAATTTCTGTAAATTTTTGCTGTTGACTGACCCCCAGATAATAGCTTCATATATATTTATTGCATTGGATACTATTGGTTCTTTTTAAATGTCTGGTTCGGACACATCAGAATGTTGTTAAATTTTTTTGCTTGTAGACGTCGACACATCTTCTCCCAATGATTTGGTATTCTCAGACACACGTTTTCTTTTTTATTCTATTCCGTAGTACTCGATTCATTTTCACTGTGACTAGAATCAGTTGGTACTCGTCCTAAAGATACATGTCGCTAAACTCATTTGATTCTTCCTCTGACAGAATTTCTTGCCCACATTTTTTAAGTTTTTGTTTCTATTTCTTGTACGACTGGATTGTACCGCTCTCATCTAAGTTGTGACAAGAAAAACGCAAGCCACGACGACGGCGCCTTCACTTGTTTCGATAATGTATTTGCCGATACGTTATCAACAGGAATAATACTAGTCAAGGCGTGATGCTACTTTGGACTCCCATAGGCATTTTGTGATAAAAATCTTACTGGTGGCGGTGAAATTCCAAAGCTAGCTCACATTTTGAAAACTGTTTAACCAAAATTCGCATTTTAGAGTGTCAGATTTTGATTTTAAAGTTAAAGAAAGTAATAGAAATAATTAAAAAAAAGTGATCGGTCAATGAAGACTTGTCAATGAAGAAATTTTCAATATAATGGCACTTAACCTGTTAATTTATTAATTTCTAACAGTATGTGATTTAAAATAGTCAATATATGCTGGTAACTTAAAGAATATCTTGCATGTTTTCTATTGTATAGCGTTAAAACATGACCTAATTAAAGGCAGAAATAATTAAGAACAAACTAAAATTTCTTAACGGTTTTGCATTTTTCAAATTTGTCGTAGTCAATAGTTTTCCAAAAAGTGTGTATGAGGCACCATAAAGCCATTTGCAACCATTTACAAATGCAAAGAAAAATTTTCAATAAAATTGCCATATGCTGGTGCCAGTCTAGATACAAAAATTATTAATGTTTTTTATTAAAATATCACAATGTGGTATATTTTATTAAAACTGCAATCTGATTTTAAATATAAATAATAGGCTTTTGATTACGCTTAATATATGGATTTTAGTTGATTATTGAACGGTAAGACCGCTACTCTGGAACGTTGGTTAAGGTTTTAGCAGAAACACGGTTAATCCATCACTACCCTGGGGTCTTCTGGCCTAGTATTCTTCTTCTTCTTAAAGTGACCTCTCTTAATGGAGGTTGGCTGCATATAGAAGAGTCGACCAGACGTAGCATTTTGATAAACGTAGTCGAATTTCGAGCTTTATTCGAGAATCACAAAGCAGTTTTTTTATTTTTTCGAAAGATTTTCTGGCCTGTTCTATTCTCGATCTTATTTTTAAATCAGGATTTAGGCTACTATCGATCCAACATCCCAGGTACTTGACCTGTTCTGAAATGTGCCCATTTATTGTGCAAGGTTGAGGTACGTTTTGGTTTTGTCGGATTGACATCACCTTGGTTTTTTTAATGTAGTATCCTACTCGGCCTAGTATCCTACTTGGCCGAAAGATGCCAGGATTTCTTGTTTAACGTTAGATATCTAAAAAAAGATTTCTTGCGCCGCTGCCTGTCAGAATTCAATTGGCTCCTTTTTAGGCTCTTACTGGATTCTGGCGATATGGCAAAAAAACCTGTATTTGAAGATTGGAATTTGTAATGAGCTGCCAGATACAAACAAATAGGCCTTCGTTAAGAGTATTTTGTAAATGGTATAAACAATTTAGGTCCATATTTGACAATCTTTTTCTGTTATGTTCTTAAGACATTTACAACGTTGTTGAACATAGAAAGCCAAACACCAAAACTCCAGTAGCTGAAAGAAGTATTGCAATAAACAAAGATAAGTCGCATGCTTGACAACGAAATACACATTAAAAAAGAAACGAAACAAAAAACAGGTTTTCCCAGTAAGTCACAGGGAAAATACAAATAGGTGAAAGGTTTGTTTAGTGTAAGTATTATCGTTTCTGATATTATTTTGATTTATGCTTTGGTTGATGTACAGTAAAGAAATTATAAAGAAAAAAAAAATAAAAAGAATCAAAAACTAATTATGCTACACAAGTTGTTCTGTAATGTACAATATACACAATATACAAAGAATAAATCTGTTACGAAAAGAAATTTAGTACTTTCTTATTATCCTCCTTATCCAGAAAAATTAGCAAAATGGGCCATCGTTTTACAAATTTTTGATAAGTAAAGTATACCCTAATTACTATTTAACTGGGAATAAGCCACAATTAAAGATAAAAATACGTTTATTGACGTTTCAATTTCCTCTTCGGAAATCGTTCTCAAAACACAAACAGTAAATTGTATTTTGAGAACGATTTCCGAAGTGAAAATTGAAACGTCAATAAACGTATTTTTATCTTTAATTGTGGCTTATTCCCAGTTAAATAGTAATTAATTTACAATGCCACAAGAAAATAACTTCAGAACAATATAAAGTATACCCTTTTTTGATATTTTAAATGTAAAAATGAATAAAAGTTAAATTTCAACTTGACACTTTAATTTTTCTGATATATAAAAAAAATGTTGTAAAAACATGTCATCAGCTTTGCACTGAGTTTTGTTTGACATACTTAATGCTGATGATGCATTTTGACATCAATTCTAATTATACATTAAAGCTATAGCTTTTTGTTATAAATAAGTATTTTTGATTATTTTTATAAATTGATATAACCAAAAATAAAACAAAAATAAAATATTTAGACCTTCATTATCTCAGCTCTATAATTTCATTAGTGAATTGGTTAAAATGTAAGACTTGGTTTTAATATTTTTGAGGTTCTCTCCTGAGTTTGCTTGAGTTGAGGATAGTTCATATGATGACATTAAAATTTTATTGAACTTAAAGCAGGTTTAAATAAAACAGTCTCAATCAAATATTAAGTGATATTATGAAGGACCGCAAAATATCTATGTCTTACTTTACGATTTGAGTAATACACATTACTCAGAAAAAGATTGATTGAAACTAAAATCAAACAAATAAAAATTTTACTCAGATACATACTTGTTGTCTTATATTATAAACAAATCTTTCACGTAAACTAAAAATACCTTGTTCCGCACACTGGATGTTGTGTATTTTAGGAGTAAATAATTATAACGAATAGTATTAGCACGTAAGCAGGGGACGCAACACACCGATCATTTACCTTCGGTTGTTTTATGACGAATGTTGTACACTTACTTCCCGCATATCTTGCAGGGGTACTCTTCGGTTGAGTCTGGCGGGCAGACGCTGGAGGAAGTGACTGATACTGACCGCCTTTCCGTCGTTGTAGAAGACGGCGTCGGCGAATTTCTTGCAGTACCGCCATGTATCCGGATGTGACCATTTAGTGCGGCGCGGGAATTAAAGCTCTGAAAAGAATACAGTCATGTTAAATATACTTAACATACTAAATATACTTTAAATAAAAGTTCGTAGTAGAGTAAAAGCAAAAATGCAACTGTTACTTCCTGCTATTGCGTTCTGCACATACCATGACCTCTATATAACAATTGAGACCATCAGAAAGAGAGAAAAGAATCCAACAAGTCATGGAAAACAACATACCAAGGGATATACCATACCATACCATACCACACCATACCAAGACATACCAAGACAAACAACAGAGGACTTATGATGCCAAACGAGATAAGCCAAATAATAATGGAGAGAAAGAGGACCAGAAGAGCCTATAAGAGGACTGGAAGATTGGAATTTAAGATTTAAGAGTCAAACTATCCGAAGATAAAAGGACAAGTCTCAGAAGCATCACAGAGTATAAATGACACAACAACATCAAGAAAGCAGAAGAAAATTACGGAAACGTATGAAGGATGCTAGAAGCCAAGAAGGAGACATAACATAAGATGACACATAGAATGATAGCAATACACAAGCAAAATTAAAACATGTCAAACAAAGCAATCGTACAAAAAGTCAACAACGCCTATGGAAGAATAAGATGAATCTTATCCCTCCTGGAGTCACTTCCTCCTATAGGAACAATATTAAAAAAGATCATCTACAAAAGACCGATGAAACATGCGGAAAGAAGAAGAATTATCCAAAAAGACCAATTAAAAGAGGAAGAAACTGCAAACTACAGCTACCAACAGTTGTCATCGATACAAAAATCCGCTTTAACAGAAACCAGAAAACTGGAATGGCCATTCTCGTTATCGAAAAGGTGTACGACAAAGTCTGAAAGAAAGCCCTCATACAAAACATTAACAGAACTAGATTACCACATTATTTATTTAATATATGTGATTCACATTTAACTAATAAAACTTTTTAAGTTTCAGCACACCAAAAGATGTCCAGTATGCAGGAGTTCGTAAAGGAATGCCTTGGGGCAGTATCCTATCACCCATTTTATGCAACATTTGTGTTTTAGATTTACCAACAGATTTAAGAACAAATACAGAACTATATGCAGACGACACAGTAGTCTACACATCAGGAAAAAAAGACAGAAGGATAGTCCAGACGTTAAAAAACCTCTTGGAGGTCTCAGAATTCACGTACAAATAAAAAATTAAAATAAATGCTGAGAAGACACAATTCATTGTCTTCACATAGCAATCGACCTCACGATGATAGAAAACGTCATCCACTCGAAACCATCCTTCAAGTACCTAGAAGTCCACCTCGACAGAATCCCAAACTTTACGAAGCTCAAGAGGTAAAGCAAAGGTAAAAGCAAATGTAGCTAAAAAGCTAATACAACTTTATATTTTCAACACCAGTCCCCCAACAAAGATCGGTGATGTTATATGCAGAGTCAGTTATATGGAGTTAAACGGGAGCAACCAACTGAAGGAAACTAGAGACGAGATAACGTCGCATTATCCACTAAGCGAGATTGAATCATGGGAAGATAGAGGCACACATTCAACCATCTAGAAAAGGATCCAGTATACAACAATAAGGAAGGTTTCTGAGAATAGGATGAGATACTTTTTTCACCAAGCCATAAAAAAACTCCCAAAAACAAGAGACATCTTCGACAGAATGAAAATTCATAGGATGTACAGTAATAAACATAGGATGATTGATCATATGATCAGAAATTAGCCAAGTGGTTGCAACATCTAATTCTCCTTGGCAATACTAAAATCAAATGAGAAATGTCCTGTTGGGGATTAAGTTTCCATTCTTTTTGGGCTTCTTGTAACTGATTTAAAGTTAAAGGGACAGGAACACGTCTTCGTGTCCTTCTCCCAAGCATGTCCTAAACATGTTTAATTGAGTTTGCGTCTTGTCTAAATGTTGACCAATCCATTACAGGAATGTTTACATCATTTAGACTTTTGAGTGATTCTCTGGATGTGGTGCTTAACATTATCGTGCATCATAACAAAGTCATTTCCAACAAAACCAGCATAAGGTACAATAAAGTCTTGGTGAATTACATGATTGTACCTGGCATCGGAACGATGTACAATTCTGTACGTGGCTTTAGAGAAATTCCTGCCCACACCATAATTGAGCCCCCTTGATAGACTAAGAGTGAATGTGCATTCTGGAAAACAATCATGTGGTCTTTGTCATACTTTTTCACAGCCCTCTGGAAACTGCAAGGTAAATCTAGAGTCAATGGTAAATAAAAAGTCTTCTTCTTCTTCTACTTTTTGTAGATCTTTCGATCTGTTTAATTCTGAAGCTGCCTCTGGTTAATTTCTTGGGAGGTAGATTGCCAACTATCCCTCCATCTTTTAGGTGGTCTTCCGGGGGTCTTGAACCGGGCGGATTGTTTTATAGGGCAATTTTTGGGAGTCTATTCTCATCCATTCGTCTTACATGGTTGTACCACATCCTCTTGCGCTGCCTTCCCCATCTTACAATATCTTGAATTTTGCACTGCTCTCTAATGTTTGTATTTCTCACTCTGTCTCTTCTTGTTTTCCCCATTATTGTTCTTAGGGTTTTCATTTCGGCAACCCTTAGCATCTGTTTCGTTTTGTTGGTATCTTCGCGCACTTCTATGCCATATGTCATGATCGGTCGTATGCAAGTCTTATAGATTCTAATTTTACTATCTGTGCGCATATACGGATTTGACCAGACTATCTCCCGCAGACATCCTGACAGTGCAGATGCTTTGTTGATCTGACTCCTCAGGTCCTTTACTGGGTCGTGGGTGCTTGATATATCTATGCCCAGATATCTGAATTGCATCACCTGTTCTATGGGGTTGTCGTCAACCACTAACTTACATCTGAGCGGATCTCAGTGTGCCTTCGGTGAAAAAGTGCCTTCAATTATTTACAGTAAAATAAGTATGATTTTTGGCCAACTGAAGCCGCACAGTAATAGCGCATGAGAAGTGGTAGGCCTGTTGCAGATCTGCGACTGCTTAACTTTGCTTCTCCAAGAATTCTTCTAATTGTTTGGTCACTTACGTATTTCGGACGTACGTAAGTTGATTTAGGATTTGTATAGTCGTAGCACGATGATCTTATCATCCTCGTAAGAGGATGAAGCGATCATCACAGGCAATAATCCACTTCGTTGGAGACCAGTTCCAGGTCGTCTAGTGTAAGCTTCGGTTGCACAGAAACATAAAAATACGGTGCATAATACTACTGGATAATTAAAACTATTGCATAATTTTTGCAAACCATAATTGTTGAGACTAAATCAACGCAATTAAGCTTTAAATGTTGTTGTAGTGTTTGCCATTTGATTTAACTTGGCCGTTTACTCATATTAACAATAACAAAATAATAACAATAGAATACCAACAGCTACCTTTGCAATTCAAAAATTATAAGAACAGTGTATTCTTAATTTTTGATTTTTTATGCATTTTTTTTAAAAGGACTTCAGTTTTATTAGAAATTACTAAAAACAGTTTGTTTAGTTTATGTTTACGTTATTGTAATAATCAAAGTTTAAAGAGAATTAAAATTTTAAGTTTTTATATTAAAAATTGAAGTGCTCTGTTTTTCGCGCTGGTAAGTGTATATAAATCTGTTAATTAATTTATACAACATACATTTTTGAAATTGAACGGGGCATACCTATGATGATATAACCTAGCTGATGTAATTAATTAAAGCAAATTACTTACTGCTGAGCAATCTGGAAATTCACATACAAAACTTCTTGTATCTGGCATTGGTAACGGCGAGCCACTATCTGCTATCTATATAAACATAATAGTATTAATTAAATTTGTGTATAGTATACTTGCATTTAATTATTTTGTTTTATTTAACTGTTTAACAAAAATTTGTATTTTGAGAGCGATTTTCAAAGTGGAGATTGAAACGTCAATAAACTGCTTTAACGTAATATTATTATAATAAAAACTGATGAAAGAACTGAAGATCTTTGAGATATAAATTTACCGACCATATTACGGGTCAGTTGGGTTGACGTAATAACAACACTAAAGAAGGAGGAGACTAATGAAAGTGATTAAGTCTTTAGTTATAAATTCTTTTGAACTACACTTATCACCAACGAAAAACTACCGCTATCAGAGAAGGGAGAACGTAGTAAACAGTATATTGAAAAAAAGGAAGCTATAATTCAAAATTACTAATTGTATAGTATATTGCTTTGGAATATTTTTTTAACAAAATATAGATATTATAATAAGAGAAAATAATTTATAGTATATAAAACATACTAAATAAAAATAAAATGCAAAACCGAGAATAAAAAGAAATATTTACCCCTGTATAAAGCTTCTCATCGATATCAACGTCTACATGTTTAAGGTAGTGATTTCTTCTTTCTCTTGTATGTTTTAATTTTCGATATTCGTCAGCACAAACTTTCTTCCAAACGTAATAAAATTGCACACATTGCTTTACGGTTTTTGTACGAATCTAAAAGCAAATATTATTAAAACAAATTTTTCTAGATATTTTTAGATTATTTATTAAAAAAATATATGTATTATAAGAATATTTTAAAATAAGATTGTAGAAAAGTTAGTTTTGAAAAATATTTGATTTAATTGAACAATTTAAATATCATGATTAACAATCATGCCCAATGGTAACTCCCTCATTTGGCTCAGGTGCACTAGCTCGAGTTTCCAGACCACTTCCAGAGGAAATCTCCTTCTTTATATTACAAAGGGCACCGTGAGCCATCCGCCATTTCATGAAGATGAAGACATCGCCCTAGTCCCCATTGGTAGGCAAGCATACTGACCACCAGAGAGTATTTTCTACGATCTAGGATACTTTGTGCTGTAAGAGTTTTAAGTTGCCCCAATATGTAAAACCTAGCCGGTCTGATACCTCCACAATTGGTCCAGGAGTTCTGAAACCTCCGCAGAAGAAGCTCTTTGAGACTAATCCGACCAGTACGGAAGGGCACTCCAATCACAGGTTCGGATCTCAACCAAACTTTTAGCAACCATCTTAGAGCTGACTTTAAGTGCTACCAAAGTCCTTAGCGCTGCTTGACTGTCTAAGCAGATAGAGATGATCCTGACTGAGCAAGCTCCTATGGGAGCCGAGAGCTTGGCCAAATTAAAATCCGGTTCTGCTCCCATATATTTCAGCAACTACCCGCTCGTTAATTCTGCATCCATCCCTAAACCAGGAGAATGGGCTTCGATGGATAGGTACAGGCTCTCGTTCTATCCACTCATCCCGATCAGAAAGTTAAACCAAGAATGAGAATGAGAACTTAAATTGAGGATTCATGCATTCCTGTAACAAAGGGAGCACAGGACGTCAATCGAGGGCCATGAAAGTTTAGAATTAAGGATCACTACAGGTATTTCACTTACTTATACCTTGTTCAAACAGTCGCTAAAAAGAATGATGTCAACCACCAGGCTTTACAGCAGGTAAGATAAAACTTCTCCCTGAACGTAACAAACTTTTCGGTACGCAGCTATCTGCCTCTGAAAAAGCAGGGTCCGGATCCACCTGACCAAGCTGCAGCCAACCCTATTTTTTTCGCAGCATCACACATGGAATCAAAAGAAGCACAACTGAAGGCGCCCTTAATACCTACAAAGATACCCAGGCTCTATTTCTTTCACTCTAGCACACGCTCAACTCTGTAGAACAGGTGATGAGGGACTGATCGGTCTTAACGATTTAGCAGGAGTAAAATCGGTTTTACATGGCTTAGGAATAAATACCCTATCGCAAGACAGACCCTAAATATCCTTACTAGTGTGAATGCAATATGGTGGATACTCTGCTAAAGTAGAGTTTTGGTATGTGGCGATATAGACCAAGGCAATGTAGACAATAAAAACTCAGATTATTGGTTTAAAGAAAATGTGTAAATAACCAAAACTATATAAACCTGATATATGTAAAAGTAACAGTATCGTAATGCAAACATTTTGAAAGTATTCAGACACATCTTCATTTAATAAAAAAAAATCTATCATAGTTTTCACAACAATCTGAAACTTTAAATGTTCGTACACATATGATATTTTTGCATAAATGATGACTTACCTCTTGAGCAATATTGCGGAAATCCTTATCGTACTTGAGCAGCGACTTATGGAAGATGTCAGTTTCTGTCGTAGACCATTTGTCACTTTCACAATATTGATACGCCAAAAGAGGATGGTCTGTGGGAAGGTTCGGTGAAGGTTGCATCAGTCGCAACATTGCGTCCTAAAAATAAAAAGTTTTATATAATTAAATAATGGGAAGAAATATTTTTAGTTTTTTTCTTGTATATTTTTCTTTTAATTTCTTGTATGACTGGGAAAATTTTACCGGTACAGTGATAGATCATCGAGGATTTCTGATTTTGGCGGTCAGCCAGTCAAGTTATATCGGGATGATCCCAGTACGAGCGACACTTGGCTTGCTTGAGTACACTTTTGCCGATATAGTTGCAGAAATCAAAGTTTTTCTGCTTTTATTTTTTATAAATCTATTATGGTTTCCTTAAATTATTATCTCTTGTTCACAAGATGATAAAAAATATCCAGTTGCGTACTTATGGGAGCAGAGGTGAAGCAGTGTCTGCCAACTTATCAAATTGTGCGCTGTGAGGCAGTTTGTTCGGTTTATTTCCCACTATTTCCACACCATTTCAAGTGTATTGTGAAACAACCAAAATTTAATTGAGTTTTTTTTGTATCAAATCCTTTATAAAAGGTATATAATAAAATGCCCAAACGGGCTATCACAATTACATTACAGAACGTTTTCGAATTATTTATAATTTATTAGGATGTTTTACAAATTGGGATGTTTAAGTTACCGTTGAGATTGGTAACATGGCGACATATGACCCTACATAAGTTATATGGTCCTGAGACGAAGTGTCTTCGAGGACCTGTTGATAACGACCATCTACAAGATGGACAAGGCTAGACTTCCGCACTATTTAATTAATATTTGTGATATTTACTAATCTAATAGAACTTTTCAAGTTGCAGCTGACCAAAAGATGTCAATGATCCAATAAATCCAGGAAAGGATGCCTCAGGGCAGCATTTTATCACCTATATTATATAACATTTTTGTTGCAGATCTTCCAACAGATCCTAGGACTTCCACAGCCCTGTATGCAAACGACACAGCAGTGTATGCATCCGGAAAAGATGAAAGAAGAATCATAGATGACATGGAGTACCACTTAGAAAAAGCACGGACTTCACGGAAAAATGGAAAATCAAAATCAACGCAGAAAAGACGCAGTTCATCATATTCACCCAGGAAAAACGACCACCACAGAACGAGATCACAGTAGGAGGCAACAGAATTCAGGAAGCAGAGACGGTCAAATACTTAGGTGTCCATCTCGACAGAAGACTCAATTTCCGGGTGCATACACAAAAAACAAAGGTAAAAGCTAATGCTGCTAAAAAACTGATACTTCCTTATATTTTTAGGTCCAGTTCACTGTCCAAGGCGAAGAAGATTCAACTCTACCAAGCATATGTTAGGTCGGTGATTCTGTATGCTGTACCAGTCTGGAGCTTTATTGCGGAATCCAACTGGAGAAAGTTAGAAGCAACTGAGAACTCATGCTACCGAATCATCGACGAAACAGCATGGGAGGATAGAGTTACCAATGCCACCCTCAGAATAGGGTACACGCCACTGAGGAAGATGGCCGACAACAGAATCAGGTGGTTCTTCAACCAGGCCACAAGAAGACTACGTAAGACCAGGGATATCCTCGAGAAAAACAGGATTAAGAGGATACACCGAGAAACACATCATCTGATTGACCACATGATCAGCGACTAGAATCCAGTCATCCAGGGAAGTAGGTACGTTTGCCGATACAGTACCTACAGAAGCAGATGAGGACACCACCCAGGAAAATCCAGGAACCGAGAGGAAGAAGATGCAAATGCTGGCGGTGCAAGAGCGGAACGCAGAAGAAAGAAGGCTGAAATATAAAATTTGACATGTAATTTTGACACATTCTTCTTATATGATTGTTCAACATTTTATAGCAGTCTTTCTCATTATCATACTTTACTGTTTTGACCTTTAGTTATTTACTCTTTTCTATTTAAAAAATTTTAGGAGTAAATGCACACAATAGATAAATATACTTAAATAAGTTTAAAAATATTAATAAAAAAAGTTTCAAGTAGAAAGAAGAAAAAACGTAACTGGCACTAAAACAGAATCAAATCCTAACACATATCATCCTTACATGAATGTTTCCTCCACACATATGAAGCAGATGCATAGCATATTCCTTGTTCCTTCCCCCACCTGGCACTGCAGCACAACAAGCAAAATCCAGGTACATATCCACTGTAAAAAAATTATACTTTAGGTAAATAAAATTTTAAAAGTAAAACATAAAAGCATATCCGAAATGTTACTATACGTTAACCAGAAATTAAGGAGAGTGATTCATAAATGTATTATGATATACTAGTTATACGAGGTGCAGATCAAATTAACTTTAATTAACTAGATTATGGTCAGCACAGTTTATCTGAATTCCTAATTAAATATTCATTATCGGTGTCGTTTCATGAAGACATTAAAAGTATTATCTACGTCAAAATTTAAATTTATTTGAGACATTTAAATTGAAAAGAAAAATCTGTCTCTTGTCGTACTGATCAACCATACGTATATCTGATACACCAGGATATTCTAGTCTAAATACGATGAGCATGAATTTGATTATAATATTTTTATAATAATACTATTATAATACGATATTCACCGCCGCGGCTCATATTTCCTTGTCGATAACAGTTTTTAGATAACATGAATTATTTTTCATCGATAATTGTGGATTTAAGAAATTTATTCAGGTACAAGCTTTAATCGTAAGATATCACGTACTCATATTTACACCATAGTAAGGCAAGCATTGGGTAATTACAAATTTCACAGAACGACAAATGTAATTACAGAGACATAATGATAGAATTGAATTCTAATACTTCAGTCGCCAGAGACGAAAATGTCACTCAACCTCTAAAAATTATACGAATTTTGTAGAGAATATTAATTTTGTAGAGACCCCAAAAAAGGGCACTTGGATCAGAAAACATCTCATTTTTACAGCCGAGCTGATAAAAATTTTATTGAACAATGATTTCGCGCACGTGTCTGATATTTAAAATCGACGGTTACTTCAAGCGTTGTTTCTGAGAGAATCTGAGATTCATTCTATACAACAAGTGCTAAAAAATATTTTTGTTTAAAATTAAATCATCTATATTTTTTATTTAAAACATGTTTTTTACGTAGGGCGTACAAATTCTTGGCAAATCGATTTTTTGCGTTTTTAGCCCCCCTATGAGGGATGTTTTAGGGGGAAACCCAGGGGTTAAAAATAATAAACTCATTTACATTTTTTTTAGGGCCCAATTTTAATATTGTCGGCAAAATTCAACCTGTTTGTTCGATTTTTAGGGGTGAACTCTCTGACAAGCGGACCAAAGCAACTAATTTAATTATAAAAAAAAGTAATGAAATAAAGACGCCACTGGAATTATAGAATTTTTCAACAATTGACAGTTTTAACAGTTTAGACAGACAAAGATATAACATAAAACTGATAGTAGATACATTCTGCACATTTTCCAATTATACGCATATCAATTGAACTAAATCATTAAAAGAAACTTCCTTATAATATGTTAAAATGTTGTAACTTATTTTTAACGTCTGTCTCTCTGTTTTTTAGATTTATTATAATATTAAACTAAAGTATTTAAAAAACTACAATTATTAGTTTCTTTTATACCGATAAGCATATAGGGATTGTTAAAAAGAGAACCGACTATTATTTTATTATTCTCAAGCCACTCCGCTCAATGTTTAAAATCGGACAAACGTTAACAAAAATACTTACCTTCATTATCCGTGCAATTATTAATACCAGGATCCCACAGCAAATCTTCATACGGCGGTTCCGATTTCCCCCGATTGGGAATTGAGTAAAACTGAGGAATATTACATTGGAATTTAGAGCCCACATTAACGTGAGGCGTTGCATCACTCTCTGGTATTGAATCGTTGTTCCAGCTATCCTCACCTTAAATTTGAATAAGACCTTTGTATTCACTAATAGTATCTACTGCTACGTTAAAATATTATTACTAACAAATTATCACAATCTTATTTTACACAAAACGTTATCAGTTTTTGAATAATTTAGTAATGACGGTCACAATTTAAATAATATCATAAACAAGTGAGAGCAGACACATAACATAGCAATAAATCAGAAGATGGTATTTTCACTGATTAAGGCACAAAAGTTTGAAGACTGGAAATGTAACGACAAAAGATGATTCTATTTTGGATATACCTATATCAAATGTTCAGCTGCATAATTATAATAAAAAAATATTCAAAAAACATGATAAATGATAACCTCATTAAAAACCACCTGCTAGTCACTTACATGGCATTGAATAAGTTATCTCAAGACCTATGCCTATAACACACTAAAGTTATCTCAAGAAGTTTAATAATTGGACATACTTGGCTTAGGGTAACAGAGGGGAATGACATTCACTTAACAAGAAAATCTAATATTATTTAGACAAATAGGAAAAATTGTAAAATAAGAATTATACACTTTATTCCAAGTACTTACACTACAAGTGTAACGTTATAAACGTCACATCTCTAATAATTTATATTTAAATAATTATTTAATTTTAATTTCTTTATTAATTTATTAATTTCTTTATCTTCAGTCTAATTTTTACTATTTTTTATTTAAAAAGTAATTAGCGCTTTCCTTTTCTTCCCATGTCTTTATTTTCTATCTCCTTCTGTCCGGCAGACTAAGTATTCTGTTCTGTGTTGACAGACAAGCAACATTCTAAGACATCTGTGCTAACTTCAAACAGTCTCACTACCTTCTGTCAGTTAAATTTTTTATTGTAGTGGGAATATAATTTTTTTGCCTGCTTTTGAACTTTACAAAAGAAGGCAAAAATTATTGTAATACCCATTTTATGGCCTACAAATTCTCTTAGGGTAAGTACTGTCATTGTGATATTTATTCTATAATTCTTAACGCATTTTTAATATTTGTAACCTTACTTTCTTTCGAAAGCACATTATTTTTTCTGATATATGCATTAGGACTTTAACATAACAGAATTTAACTAAGAAGTAACAATCATATTTCATTTTATCCTTGCCATACGCTATTTGTTCAATTGTAATTTTGTGGGATGGTTTATTTTTGATGTGTCTCTAATGCCAGATGTTCCTTATATTTTAGTTTATTGGGCATTTTATTCGCATATTGACAACTGTATTGGACCAACTTTATTGACAACTTATTGACTTTGGTTATATACCAAAAGTATTACCTTTATTGGACTTAACAATTTAATCAGAACGTATACCCACATGTGACTGAATCTCTCCAGAAACTACAATCTTTAATTGGAGGACCTAACAACTAGTACACACAAGCAGCTAATCGATCGAAGCAATAATTATCACTTATTAATTGTTAAGCTTTGGCAGGGTTAATTATTGTTTTTTTTTATTTCTTTTAAATAAATATGTTTGGTTAAAATTTGTCTTATTTGCCTTCAACTAAGAAATTACAGTATCTGGGCCACGTTATGAGAGGGGATAAATATGTGTTGCTACAAATCATAATGCAGTGAAAAATACAGGGAAAACGAAGTATTGGAAGAAGACGCATCTCCTGGCTCAACAATCTAAGAAAGTGGTATAATTGCAGTTCCGTCGACTTGTTCAGAGCTGCAATCTCAAAAGTGAAAATAGCTGTGATGATTACCAACCTTCTTAGAGGAGATGGTACCTAAAGAAGAAAAAAAAGAAGAACTCAGTTTCAATCCCTAGTTTAAGACAAGACAAACTCACCCTTGAGATACTGAGCTAGGCAAGGTATAGACGATAAGCTCCTATGTTTGATTGAGGTATTATTTTTACAATAGTACTTCAATAGATCGTCACATTACTATGACAAACAAAAAGAGACTCCTTTCAACTCTGGTCTTTTCCATATTTTACTATGAATGCGAGACATGGACAGTCAAAGAATCAGATCGACGACGTATAGACGCCTTTGAAATGTGGACATGGAGACGCCTGCTTCGAATTCCATGGACGGCTCGCCGTACAAATATCTCGGTTCTGGATAAAATTAAACCGGATCAACGTCTCTCCAGTACCGTTTACTCTAGAATTTTAAAGTTCTTTGGCCATATCCATCGAAGTGATCACAAAATGGAGCGGTTGGTGGTCCAAGGAAGGCCTCAGACTCAAGGCCAACGCGGAAGATCTCCACAGCGATGGGCGGACATTACTAAAAAGCTTCTCAATAAACAGTATACTGAGGCAATACATATAACTGATGACCGCAACCAGTGGAGAAATATTATTAATCAAACTGTCCGAGCTGCTGAAGCCCAATTATGAACCACAAGACATCTACTAAGATGTTAATGACTGTGATGGATGACTTCAATAGAAGAGAGCATTTGGTTTAATTTGGTGATAATGCAAAGAGTTTTATAAATAACAGAAATAACCCCTTTTTCTTAAGAGCTGCAGTATCGACCAGCCACAACTAAGACTAAAAAATCTTCTTCTTCAACTAATGCTAAATGCTAAAAAATTTTCTTCATGTTTGATTATGAAAGGAAAAATGTGCTTTGACTTCTTTATAACAACTCGAAAACAAAAACAAAAGTAAGTAAAATGCACTTGATGGAAACACGAGTTGTGGATTTATTGCAGTTTTGTTTTCGTTTTTCGGGTTCTAAAAACATACAAAAAAAATAAACTAAAAAACAGTAAAATTCCTCAGCAACCACTTTTCTATTTTTTTAGTTCTTTTTTATCTAAACTCTTTAGTATCTTCACTTTTCTAAACGATTTACTGCTTTAAAAAAGTAAATAGAAGAAAAGTAATACCCTTTCTAATACAAAATGTAGGCAATAATATTAATAGACCAACCACAAAGATTCGTTTTGTTTTTCCTACTATTTTGCACACAAAACAATAGTTTCTAGCGTTTAATTAAAAATTATTTTACTTACATTTGTTTTTAATATTGATATAAAGACCAGCTCCTGGCCTCTGAGGATTTAGTATTGGTTGGGGAGTATATCTCGCGCAACCAGGGGGCTTGCTTATAGTAGCTCTAAGTTTGGAGTGATGTATTATAGGTAACGGAAGAGGTTCCGCTCTGGGCCTTTTTCTAGATACTCTTATCGGACTAGCAGGTACCCTAAAAATAAAAATTGTTATATATGTTTAATAATCGTTAGATTCTCACTAATGATCTTTTAAATTAGCTCTCATTATTCTTATTTTCTAGTTTATTCGTATCACTTAAATTTACTTTCGTCAAATTTTAATTTTTCTGTCGTTTCTGTTCTTGCCCAAAATTTTGTCAATCGAAAAAAAAGTGCCAACAAAATTCGGCCAAAAATACCAATTAAAACATTTGCAAGCTATAAAAATTGGTCAGTTATGGAAATGACGTCCCCCCAGCAGTCTACTGAAAAAAGCTCTTCTGTTAAAGTGTCGCTTGCGTTGTCCTCCTTTTTTATGAAACCAACTTTTTTGAAACAGTGTTTGATCGTTTCGGGTGTTACTTCTCCCAAGTTTCCTTTCATATTCGAGATACTTGTAGAATGTCTAACTTTATTTTAAGGGAGTCGCAATTTTCCGCCAATATGTTTTCAACCAAAAAAACGTCTGTAAAAATTTGTAAGATTTTTTATGACACTCTGGTCCATAGGCTGGAGAACTGAAGTCATGTAAGCAGGAAAAAAAAATAACTTTTACGTTTTCCATCAGCTTGATAGTGTTTTGTGTCGTACAGTTGTCAGTAAACAAAATAACTTTTGTTTTTTCCGTAAACTGTGTTCGAAACCAATTCATGTTCTTCTTTCAAAGAAACTTCTTTTCTTTTTTCATTTATGAACTTTTTGTCTAATTTTTTCAGCCATTTCTCGAAAAGATCACTTGTCATCCAATCTCTTGCACTGCTTACATATTCCACTGGTTTTGACTTGACGTTCTTAAAACAATGCGGATTAGCTGACTTGCCAACCATCAGTAGAGGCAGCCTTTCTGATCCGTCCATGTTTGCATCAATTAGGAGATTGACTCTTTCGTTACTTAGTTTTTATCCGTAACATTTTTTCGTTTTTAAATATCAGTGTTTTGTCAGAAGTGCATTTAAAAAAAAAAGACCCATCTCGTTAATATTAAAGATCTCTTTTATCTATATTCTGAATCATATCCTCCAATTTTTTTCCATTGGTTGGCTTCTTGCTGATCAACGGCCCAACTTTCTCCACAAATGGATTTGAACGAAATGTTGTTGCGTTCTTTGAAGCCTTCGAGCCACCCCGTACTCACTTCAAAACTGTTTTTGCCCATTTTAATAGAAAATTGTTCAGCTAAGGGGACCACTCACGGGAACCTTCTTATCCCTGGCTTGTTTGAAACATTTTAAAACACAATTGTCTAAATTTGGATTTTCTGTCTCCCTTAATCTTTTTCGATCTTTACCGCAGTAACTTTCACTGTTGAGATTTTTTTCTTTATTCTTCAAGTAGGTGGATAATGCGTTAGGAGGAATTACAAAATCCTTGGCAATCTCAAGATTTTTTGTTCGTTTTTTTTTCTACTTCTTTAACTGCCGCTACTTTTTCCGATAACTTCAAAGTTTTGTATGTTCTAAGTTTACCATGTCACGATATCTTCGCTCAATATGAAGTGACATACTGACGTGATTTGCGGTGATTGCAACGCCAACGCATCCCAACTAGAGAGGCGTGCCGGGCGAGTAAGAATTTGGTGACAGGCTGACAGGTACGGGTACAATGTACAATGTCCTTGAAATAAGTGACATGTTAGGAGAGGAAAGAATACTACCTCTTTTTGCGGAAATTTCTAGCATAAAATGAAAATTTTTACCTTGTAGAAAAGTTCGAATTATCCAAAATATTATTTGAATTATTCACCCCCTCTGTGGCACAGTGGTAAGGGCGCCTACCTTTAAACCTAAAGGTCGTGAGTTCGAAGCTCATCTGTGTGGAGAAATTTTCGTTTATTAAAAATTAATGAATGAAAATAATTTCTATCCTTGTGCCATCGGTACTCACCGGAAGGACCGCAGACGTTCGAATACAATTAGCGTCTCTTAGCAAAGACAATGACGTCGACTTTGCTAAGTATCAAGACAATTACTCTACACACACACACACACACTACACTAGGTACCTGACTGTACCATGCCAATGATCTTAGTTGTCGAGGCATTAACTTAATAATAATAATATTCGAATTATTCACGACTTTTTACCATTACTTGTATAGGAAATGCTAGAAATCAGAATGAAAGTTCGAAATAAAGAACATTTCAAATTAGCGATGTTCAAATTAAGCAGGTTCCACTGCAGTTTAAAATGGACTAGCATTATAATAACTACGAATTATAATGACTAAGTACTATGAAGGTTCCTGGGTTTTTTTCAGCAGTGTAGGATGATAGCGTATTGATTCTATAGTTTTTATTAATGGGATGTGTCAACAAATTGAAATTTAATTTAGTCATATTCTTTAACTAACTGACACGACCACGCTTCCATGTGGCTTGGTTATTATACGATTAATATTCAATGTTCAACTATTTAACACAGTTAAGTAAATATCATGAAATCTATGGAGAAGAGTAATCAGATATTTGCATCAAAAAATAAAATTTGTGATATTAGCAATAAAACACAATCCATCAGCTATGTTTTCTTCAGAAAACAAGAGATATTTTTTGTGTACAATGATCCAAAAAACCTAAAAAAAATTGTCCTGAATGAAAAATTTATAGTTAAAAAAAATTGTTTAAAAATATTTTAACAACTTTTCGCCTGGGCGCCCTGCTGAACCTTATTGGGACGTCTACTGAAGGTGAATATGCAAAAAAATCTTATGGGAATATTTTTCCGAACGAACCCGAACTTTTTTCTTTTTCGTCGAGATAAAATATCCTGTCTTTTAAATAGGGCCAAACAAAGCATTTTCCCAATATTTCATTGGTGTGTGTCCAGTGGTTTCGTTGATTAGCTTAAAAACTAAGGCAAATATCGAGCACGAGTTTAATCAAACCTTGCCCAAGTACTTTCGCTTAGTATAGCATCATCAAGGGCATCTTAAATAAGCCAAAAATGGTCTTTTAAATGAAGAAAGTTAATTAGCTTTGATAAAAACTACATTAGCAAAAGGATAAAGAGTTTAAAATTATTAAAATTATTCTAACGCTCTACATTCTTGTCGGCAACTGAAGAAAGAATGGAATTTAACAGAAATGCTAAGGTGACATGTGACATATGACAGCTTTGATGGGCTATCACAATCATGGATATGTGATATGAACATATTAACATTCTGTGTAAGTAAGCTGGCATTGACCAAAGGTCCAACTGACACTACTATAGAAAATCAGCTTATGAAATATGACATATAGAATATTTTAACTTAACTAGACGGCATAATCCAGCTCTCACACTCCCGCCAGTCTGTAATACTATTGTTGTAAGATTGAGAGCAAATAAAGTGAACATAAAGTGTGAATGAAAGAAATAGACTAAACAATCTATTGGAAAGTGGTTGGTTGACTAGTGTTTAGTCTATTTCTTTCATTCACACTTTATGTCCACTTCATTTGCTCTCAAACTTACAACCTTATTATTGCAGACTGGCGTGAGTGTGAGATCTGGATTATGCCATCTAGTTAAATAAAAATATTCTATGTCATATTTCATAAGCTGATTTTCTATAGTAGTGTCAGTTGGACCTTTAGTCAATGCCAGCTTACTTAGACAGAATTTTAATATGTTCATATCACATATCCATGATTATGACAGCCCATCAAAGCTGTCATATGTCACATGTCACCTTAGAATTTCCGTTAAATACCATTCTCTTTCCGGTTGCCGACAAGAATGTAGAGCGTTAGAATAATTTTAATAATTTTAACCTGTTGTCCTTGTATTAATGTAGTGTTATGTACTATTTATGTGTACTCTTATGTGTATTACATTCTATGCTTGCTGGATAGCCCAAATTTGACGAAATGAGTCTAAAACGTTAATCACAAAAAACTTTTATCATCCATTAACTTCGAGTTTTTATCGAAGTTAATTAACTTTCTTCATTTAAAAAAACGTTTCTTGGCTTATTTCAGATGCCCCTGATCATGCTGTAGATAGCAAAAGTACTTGGGCAAGATTTGATTAAATTTGTGCTCGATATTTGGCTCAATGTTTTAAAGTTTATTATGACTTAGATAAGATTTTTATATAAAAAATTTAAAAAAAAAATAAATACTTACGAAGTAGGACTTAAAAAAACGTCGTTGTTATCTTCTTTTTTAATTTCGGTTACTGGTTTAGGCCTGTTAATAATTTGTTTCGTTGGAATAGTGCATTGTACAGTTTGTATCACCTTCTTTTTGTCTTCACTACCATTATCTTGAGGAGTGATTATAGGAGTATTCGTTACCAAAATATTTTTCGTCTGAAAAGTATTTCCACCGGTCTGTATTAACTTTATTTCTCCGTTAGCGTCAACAAGAATCCCAGCAAAATTCGTGCTGTTCAATTCGATTAGGCCGTTGTTGCTTATCAGCCTTAAAGGTACTCCGTTAATTTCAATTTTTTTTCTGGGTACAAAATCTTTGGGGCTGCTGGATAAAAGTGGATCGTCTGAGTTCGGTAGCATTAAACCATTACACCAATTTCCGGACAAGGTAAATGTAGAAGTGTTCGGAGACGGTGAGAAGCTAGTCGCTGTTGCTGGTTGGGAATCTGTTGTCGTAACAATATTAGAAATAGGTGATGGTACGGGTGTTAGGCCGAGTGGTGATTGAGGTGAGGGAGAATTTGTCAGTGGATAAATTGGCTCTCCAGGTAACACCTCTTCTAAGGCTTCTTCTACTGCTGCGGAACTAGACATTGTAGATGTGAAGAAGGCAGCTGAAAGCGGCGAAGAAGCTTGTGGTGGCTCCTCATAAACACCTAGATAATAAAAAAGTTTATATTATAACCCGAAGTTCAAAAAGTATGTATAAAATCAAATCATTCTAAGACTTAATATCCACACTGTATAATAAAATATTTAATATATATGAAATTGGCGTAATACCAAAGGAATGTCTTGATTCAGAATTCATAGCTATACCAAAGAAATTCAGTTCCCACAAATGTCATGAATTTAGGCTCAATAATTTAATAAAAAGAGGTTTTTTAATAAAAATATTTTTAAATATCATATAGTATTGAATTTATAAAACATATGAAAAAGACATAAGCGACTCTCAGTTCGGATTAAAAAAACGTCGTGGAAGCAAGAGAGACGACCAAAAAATAGTATAAAATGAATCAAGACCCAGAAGATATCTGCATCATTCAAAACCTTTATTGAAACCAAGAAGTTACCTAAAAATATTCCAACAATACTACTAAAAGTGTCATGTTTCTATTACTCTTTAACTTGTACTCTGATTTTCCCAAATAAAATATTAAGAGAGAAATATATTAAATTTCCTAGACAAATACAAAACTTTGCAAAAAAAATTATTTACCTCTTTCAACTATCTGACCAAACTCTTGAGCATTCGGTGATACCATCGGCAATATTGTATTTTGTCCAAATCCTGGGCTCTGACCTTCATGACTAGCTGGTGGTGTGGGATATGCAAATCCTGGAGAATCGTGCCTTATCAATGGACTTTGTAATGGTGATTGTGCAGTTATTGTATGTGGAGATCGGGCATATTGAGCAGGTGATTGAGTTTGGTAACTCGGAGAAGGCATATCAATGCTGTTTGTCGAATGAAATGTACTGAACTCTGCTAAACTCTCCGGTAACGGCGAATCTAAAACGGCCTGTAGTTCTTGATTAACAGGATGATTGGATTGGTACGAGGGGGACTGCTGAACTGGTTCTTGAAGTGAGATATCTTCAATTTTAAAATTTTCTATTTGTTGGTCGTTCTGATCTTGGAGGAGAGTATCCGTTTGAAATTGTATTGATGCAAGTTGACTAGGATCCACTCCTGTAACTTATGTTTTATTAGAATATAAACGAATATTTTACTTATTACATATTTACCTTGGAGAAGCATGCTTTCTTGCGTGAAAACACCTTCTTGCAAACTTGAAGATATGAACTCCGCTTCTTCTGATTGGTAGGTGACGTTCGCCAACGTAAAAGACTCACTAGATTGAAATTGAATTATTGGTGAAGACTGGCCTGGGTCAGAGGTAGTTCTTTTTACTGTAGCCTTTTCTCTTTTAAGAATAAGGTCGGCCAAAGCTTGCGCCTCCTGTTGAGTTGACCGGAAAGTTTCCGCGTCGGAATGTCTTCGAGCTTTTTCAGCGTTCTATAAAAAAATATTACACAGTTTAGTATGTTAATAGAAATTTCATTTAACAGAAAATTGTGCTGTACTTAATATTATTTCATATTTGTTAGAAATAGTTACGAATTGTTAAAAGGTAAAACAATTCCTAGTTCATCTATTTTAGCGCTCCCCCCAATAATAATTTGTTTTGTCTGCTGCTGCCTTCGTCAAAATTTCTTTCAGTGGCTATTAAGCAAAGTTATTACATTTATGTTTTTTTAAAGATTGCTTAAAGTTAGTTTTTTTAAATAATAATATTGGCCTTATCGTAGAATGTACGAATTTAGAACTTTACCTTCTGATGCTTAAATATCAACGTGAGAGAGATTGTCTGCTCTGTGACTTCAAATAAATACATGCTTTTTTTAGGAGTTTTGGGGTAATATAGAGGGGAAGTTTCGATATTGTCTCACTCTTTATAAACATTCCTATAGATGAAACTTTAAACATTCTGAAAACTAAATACAGTATTTAACAAGACCACTTATCTGTTATTAAACATTGTATGTCCAACACCTATTTCATGTTTCAGAATAAATTATACAGACAAATAAATGGTGACCCAATGGGCTCCCCTCTATCTTCAGAAATTGCCAATATCTTTATGGAAGACTTCGAGACCCGAGCACTATCCACATCAATTCTCAAGCCCACATGTTGGTTACGATATGTTGACGATACATTCGTCATTTGGCCCCATGGCAGGGATGCTTTAGTGTCCTTTCAAACTTCTGAATAGTATACATCATAGTATTCAGTTCACGATGGAAATGGAAACTGATTTATCCCTACCGTTTCTCGATGTTTTCATCTAGAAAAACCAATCCCAACGTTTCCGTTACTCTGTTTATCAAAAACCCACACATACCAATCGTTATTTGCATGCCAACTCTCACCATCCACCTTCACAAATTAATTGAGTCATCAGTACCCTTGTCTCCAGATCAATACACCTTTCCGATGGTGCAAGTAGACATCAATCTCCAACTCAATCTAAACCCAAAGACTCAGGCCCTTATCATACCAAAGCTTTTCTTCCTTATATCAAAGGTGTCACTGACAAAATCGACAGAATTTTGAAACCAAGAAGAATAAAAACAATATTTACTCCCCAACGAAAACTTTCATTTCTTATCCGATCAATCAAAGACAATATTCCAAATGAACAGCACGGAGTTTATGAAATACTTGTGCAGACTGTCCCCGATCCGATATACAGCCAAACAAGTCGTAGAATCCAAAATAGGATTTATGAACATTCCATTTCTGTTCGCAATTATGATTCAATTTCAGCTCTCGGTCAACACCATCTTCATACAGGTCACAAAATTGATTTTGAAAACTCAGAACCATAGCCCCCATCCGCTTCTATAAACCAAGAATTATCCGAGAAGCCATAGAAATAGAAAAAAGGCCAAATTGTCTTAATAAAAGAGATGACGCCATACGGTTACCTTCTACATGGAGACCTATCATAAAGAAAATATCGCCCCTCCATCCCGAATCAAAATCCCTAGCGCCAACTCTCGCGCCAACCCCACCTAGGCCACGCCATCATCGACGGTATAAATGAACTGTCTCCTGTTCCCAGCCGTAGTAGTGACAGTGCAGACTAAGACCTCGGAAGCCCTGAGGAAGACATCAGAGAGGATGTCGAAAGTTCGGCAAAATGGATATCGACGCGGTTCAACCCGGAAGACTGGTGAGATTAATATTAATTTTTGTAATAGTAGTAATCTTAGCTCTAGGTAAAAGATAGTTTATTAGGGTTGCAGTCAGAATATTGGCCGGGATGTTAAAGAAAACACTCTTTTGACTTTTTGTCGAGCTTTCGGAATGGTTTTATTCCTTTTTCAAGGCACTGTAAAAGAAAATTATGTAAATATTTAAAAATATCACAATTCTTCAGTGTAACTTACTAGTTGTTGAGATTATTTTTGTAAGCATTGACACTCAACATTTATACCACACATTAAAATATACAATTATGGACATAATACATCATACAATTTTTAAAATTTGTTGTAAAAATAGTAAAATTTGATAGATGGCATGTTTTACTGGTGTATATTAACACTGGTGTAAGTAACATTTATTGTTATTTACTAGAAAAACACCAAAAATAAAATAAATATTTACTGTACAAAAATTACACCTCTGTATAATATGTTGCATACCATTAAGACAGGTTTAAAAAGTATAGTCACCTAAAAAGGGCCTCTAGTATTTCTTGTAAAGAAAGATAACATCAATTACACCTAATTACATATTAATTACACTGTTTTTTCTTTCCATTCTCTGTATGAGACAATATACACCAGTAAAACATGCCATCTATCAAGTTTTACTATTTTTACAACAAATTTTAAAAATTTTTATCATGTATTATGTCCATAATTGTATATTTTAATGTGTGGTATAAATGTTGAGTGTCAATGCTTACAAAAATAATCTCAACGACTAGTAAGTTACACTGAAGAATTGTGATATTTTTAAATATTTACATAATTGTCTTTTACAGTGTCTTGAAAAAGGAATAAAACCATTCCGAAAGCTCGACAAAAAGTCAAAAGAGTGTTTTTTTAACATCCAGCCAATATTGTGACTGCAACCCTAATAAACTATCTTTCGTTGCAGGTTTTAGGCTATAATATATTTTACAGTTGTATAGCTATGATCAATACTGCACTATAAATATGGATTTATGATAGACCAAGTTAAATGATTTATCAAAATCTACAGATATTATTATTAATGGCTTGTATCCTATATCCTTTTCTTTTTAAGACTTTATTACTTCTCGTAAGTAGCCATTTGTTCCAAAGCCACTAATAAATGCGGCTTGCTCTAGTGGTTTCTCAAATCTAGCTTTGGTCCCAGTCTGTTAGTAATTGTTCTCATAAGTAGCTTATATAAAATGAAATAGTACAAATTTAATTTTAATATAAATATTAACAAAGGAGAGTATTGAAGGAAAAAATAATTTAACAAAATACTTTACCTGTTGAGGAGGAGCTGGTACAACAAATGATGAAATTTTCGACTCTAGATCGGTGTTGCTAGATGGAGAGGAATGCACGTTTAAAGGAAAAAGAGGTGGAGCGTTGGATTTTTGTTCTTCTGTGGGTTGAGGAGTCGTTATCCTTTTATTTATAATTTTTTCTTCTATTAGTGCTCGCACGCTGAAACTTGCTGTCTGCAAAGGTGGACCGCCGGGCTCTTTTTTCTCGCATTTTTTACTTTCAGCGTCCTAAAACAAAAGTATATAAAAAAATGCATTCTTACTATTTCGATAGCCACATAAAAATTAGATTTTTACGATGTCAAAACAAGTATAAAAATAAAATTTGACATCGAGTGTCGGTGCCTTTTGTAAAACATAGACAGCGCAATAGAAATTAAGCCTATAATGCATCAATTTTTGTTCGAGCTGAAAAATTCAGGAAAGTTAGATTTTGCACTTAATGTGCACGATGTAAATTGCACGAACTCAAATTTACTGAGGTAAAAATTGATATTACTGCCAGGTGTACCTCTAAAAGTTACGACATTCGCCTTTAGGCGGACTTATGCAGTAACCATGCATTAAGGTAACAGCATTTAATTTTTTTTTAATTATCAAACTATGCAAATAAAAACATATTGAAATTATTGTTTTTATGAAAATCATATAAACATGTTTTGTGGTTTAATTATATAAATATAAATTGCATTTTATACAATATGCTTGGGTTTCGGATGTCACCGCGGGGGAACAAATAGGGGTCTAACATCCTTCTATTGCCCCCGGGTGTTCTGTAGAGGGCTTCGGAGACGTCAACGAATGCACCTCTACCCAAGTCTATTAACTGGATATAGACTTGTAGAATTTCTTCTGATGAGCTCGTCTTGAAAAAGACGAGCTATTTCTTACATGACATACGATGAAGTTGTCGAAATAGACATCAGGTTCTTAGCTTCGGTGACTTGCCTTGACAAAGGCAAGATATTTCTTACATGACTAAATAGTAGTCGAAATAAAACACCAAATATGGTTGAAATAAAATCTCAGCCACAGAGTATAGGAAAAAGCTAAAAGAAAGCAGAGCCCGAGAGCTCTAACCTCTCGGAGAGCCCGTGAGGGACTGTCTTGGTTGACCTGAAAATCGCCTATTTTTATACACGCTGAAGCAGCGATAAATAGGGACTTCCAGGTCAGGGACCAATAGGAAAAATGAGGGACGGGGCGATGCGTCTCGAGCGCGAACTAGTCGCGTCCGAGAACACGGATGTGTGGCTTATTTGATCGTAAAGGATGTCCTCTGTCGGAATATATGCTCTCTTTGGTGCACTTGCAGTAGTTTTAGGTGAAAAACTGAAAGGTCGGCCAACAGGTCGTTTGACTGGAGCCATGATATACAAGCAAAGCGATTCAGCTACTTGTGTTCTGAATACTAGCAACTTAATTTTTGCTTTTTGGGGATGAATCCTGTGATGCAGTAGATAAGTGTTGATCACCGCCACATCTATGAGGTGGTAAAAAATACAATTATTCCATTTTCTGGTCTTCATATGAAAGCGATATCGACCTAATAGTCCATCCATCAAATCAACACCTCCCATATACCGATGATATTCTTTGAGGATCTGTGGGAAAGCGATTTTATCGTGAACTATTTTTTTTCTGTCTCACCGTCTAATTTTTTCGGACCGTACGCTATCATTTTTGGATGCAAATGGTTTCACGCCAAGAACGTCGACCAACGTCGCACATATTTTGTATCGTTCCACAATACAGAAGTAATATCTATACCATATGCGTTACCAACAAATTCTTCTGAATAGCCACGGACAACTTACTTCTGTTGCAAATCTGCGTCGGTCGATAATTCGCAATTGGGTACTTTGTTTCTTCTCATTGTTCCTAAACTGCATATTCCTTTACCTGAAAGATACGTAAGCTCGCCTAAAAACGTATAGAAATTGTTAAAGAATAAAATGTGATTTACGAAATTTGGAATGTGCGTTGATAAGCGAAACACAGCATTTGTGGCAGCCCCAAGATCTGGAGTGTTGTCCAAGATTATGTTGTGTCGACTGATGAAATTTAACTAAGAATAAGTAAAAAAGAAATCATGATTTCAACTGAGAATATTTAAGCGCAAAATACTAAGGAAGATATTTGGACCAACTTAATGCAGCGATGGTTCGTGTGAGTATTAAAATAAACCACGAGCTAGAGGAACTACTACCGAGCGCAGATATTGTTAGATTTATAAAGTCACAAAGACTAAATTGGATTGGTCCCCTAGAAAAAATGCCAGATAATCAAGCTGTAAAAGTAGGTCAGAGGTGGAAGTCCCAAGGAAACAGAACAAGAGGAAGGCCCCGTAGAGAGGGATCTTAAAACCATGAAAATCTAGCAGTAGCAAAGGAAAGTATCCGACAGGGCAGAATGGAAGAACATTGTTAAGCAGGCCAAGAGTCATAAAGGGTTTTAGCGCCATTATAAGAAGAAGAAGGAGACGAAGGTTGAATAAAACCGCGAATTTGGTCAACATCATGAAGGGCCGTAAAATGCACAGTATTTGAGACATATAATGAGCGATCAAGGCAGATATGAGCTACTCCAATGCATTTTTCAAAGTAAAATTGATGGAAAAAGGGACTCCAGGGTGAAGAAGAATATTCTGGCTTGCTAACCTAAGAGCATGGTATGGAAAGGCCTTAACACGGCTATTCCATATAGCAACCAACAAAGTCATCGTAGCCATCATGATTGTCAACGTTCAGAAGGCATAGGCAGCCTAAGAAGAAGAATTGTAGTAGTTATAACCTATGAAATAAAGACCATAATATATCTATAAAAGTATCCGGTAAATAAAAATAACACAGGGGCCATCAAAGTAGCTATGTTAGAAATTTCTCTGAAAGAACAAATACAAAATGTGACATACGAAGCGAGACGACGGTGGAGGATGTATTTGGATGAATTGCGCAACTGAATTAAAACTGGTTAGTTTGACAACAACACGTGGCACCATAGAACAAAGAAAGATGGACAAGAGTGAACAAATTTGTACTAGAGTAACATCATGAAAACGGTAAATTTTCACGTCGACCAGACGACATCAAAATAAAAGTGGGAAAAAACTGGCACCAAATAACACAAAGCAGAGAAGACTGGTGAAAATGGAGGCCTTTTTCTATTAGTGGTTTAAAATAGGCTGATGCAGAACAAAAATAAGATTAAAAAATAGAAGGTAGTCTTGTGTAAGTTTTAATAATTTATATAAGTATTAAGTCTTAGAAAATTAAATAAATTTAATATGTTATTTATATCTTTAATTGCATTAGCTTATTTACTTTTATTTTTATTATTACATAGTTTCATTTTGGTTATATTGTGTTTGTTTAACTGCATGATAAAAATAATAATCTATTGTCGTAAGCATCTCATGCAACTCCGGAGACATATGGATTCCGTAATCGCTTCAACCTATTATACGAATTGAACAGCCATATTCCAAACAACAGCAGTTAAACTAAATTAACTGAACTTGGAATGGTTCACTAGACAATGGTCAAAGTGAAATTCTATCCTATATGCATCAAACACATAATTACTATTACGTGAGTACAATGGTCAACGTCCCCTTAACGTCATAATTAGACAATCTGTATAAGTAATGTATCCCCATTAATTAATACAGATGGTTACGAAACTTTAGTTTATTAGCAAAATAAGCTTACAGCAAGCATGAACATTATATCCTTCGCTGCAAACTCTACTTGAATTCAACGGTAAAATAAAACCGACTTAATTTGAAAATGTAGCCAATTCAATATAACATTTTAATAATTTTAAAAATGTTAACAGAGAATGAAATTTAACTTTAAAAGTACAATTGAATTTTCACTTATTTGAACCTACCGTCCTTTATAAAGGCCGGAAGGTTTCTTATAGTATATTACAAACTTTAAGCCTTTAAATATAGGTGACGTATTGGTTTTCTTTTTTTTTTCGAATCCAAGTCAATTCAAGAATGTTCCTCAACCAAGAAACTTGTTTTCTTTCTACACCCCTACGGCCTCTATTTTGCCTTTAAGGATCAGTTGTAATATTTATATCGGCTTCCTCTTACTATATGTCCCAGATAAGACATTTTTTTGGTGTTTAATAGACTTTAGCAGTTCTCTATCTTTGTTAACGCTCCTTAGTACTACTTCATTAGTTTTCCTTGCTGTCCAAGGTATCTTCAGCATTCGTCTATGAACCCACATTTCCAATGCTTTAATTTTATTCATATTCGATACTTTTAGCGTCCACACTTCTGCACTATACAAAAGTACGGACCAAAAATAGCACTTAACAATTTATTGTCTTAGTTGTAAACTGAGATGATTATTGCAAAGAAATGACTTCATTTTCATAAAAGTAGTTTTAGTCATTCCTTTTCTACGTTTTATTTCTATGTCTGGATCTAGTTGGTCCATTACCACACTTCCCAAATATGTCATTTTGTGAACTTTCTCAACTTGGACTCCAGAAGTCCAAGTTGAGAAATAGCAGTCCAAGATAGCAGTTTTACTCTGACTTTTTAAAAAGTCTGAGTCTTACTTTTATGTTATCATCCTTTATTACTTTCATCAACTTAGTTGGTGTATCATCTGGACCACAAGCTTTTCTAATTTTAGCATTATTTATAGCATTAGTTTTTCAATCTCAAATTATCGGATTGTCGGCTGTATGCAATAATTGCACAACACAAAAACTGGTAATTTTTTAAAACAGGGGTTTAAAGTTTGCGTGCCAATAATTTTGTTTTATTTGTTTTACTACATGGATTGGGAAGAAAAAAATAAATTTTGGTGTATTTGGGAGAGTGTTTAATAAGTTGTAACATAGACTTTTTAATTCGCTCCTTATTTTGAGTTATGCCACTATTGGCGCATCAACATTTTGTCTTTTAAAACTAATTAAAGCAAAGACAAAACCGACATTTTTTTTGTTATCACTTTCAACTAAAATAAAGGTTCAATAAAGAATACTACAAGTTACTTGAATTAAAAAATGTGTAAAATAAACGAAATAAAAAAGTATATATTGATAATAATAGATAAAGCTATTAAGTGGGAAAAAAGAGAAGAACCAGTATGTGTACAGGCTTTTTGTCTTCATGGAATAACATATGAAAGGGTTCGAAGGCCACAAAAACATGTCTTTAATAGTGGATCAACACCAAAGAATAAACGAGGCAGGCATTAAAA